GAACCCTCAAGAAAATTCACAGTGAAGGATTTAGCAGAAGCTTTTGCAGACCTCAACAAGCTTCTTAAAATGTTTGAAAACATGGACCCCAACACCAAAAGGTTTTCATTAATAGAGAAGAATGCATGAGGTGCATTATATGCTTACAAGCAAACCTATTATGAAAAAAAGAAACAAACCAAGCAAATCACCATGAACATATTTCTGAAGAAAGTGACACACCCTCAAAAGAGCCTCAGGCAAGTCCTTTCTGAGATATTGCAGAGGGCGGCATTGTTATCATAGGAGATGACAGCTCCATGTGTGTTATTGCCCATGAAGACCTTATAGTGGGACGAGATGTGGAGTTGAAGGATGGTGATACTGACGATACTGACCCTGTGTAGGCCTAGGTTACTGTGTGTGTTTGTGCCTTTGTTTTTAACAAAAAAAGTTTAAAAAGTAAAAGAAAAAATTTAAAAATAGAGAAAAGCTCATAGAATAAGGATATAAAGAAAGAAAATAGTTTTCGTACAGCTGTACAATGTGTTTGTGTTTTAAGCTATGTGCTATTACAAAAGAGTCAAAAAGTTTAAAAAATTAAAAAGTTTATAAAGTAAAAAAATTACAGTAAGCTAAGGTTAATTTATTATTGAAGAAAGAAAGAATTTCTCTATACATTTAGTGCAGCCTAAGTGTAGTGCTTATAAGTCTACGGGAGTGTACAGTGATGTCCTAGGCCTTCACTCTCACCATTCACTCACTGACTCACCCAGAGCAACTGCCAGTCCTGCAAGCTCCATTCTGCATGGTAAGTGTCCTATACAGGTGTACCATTTCTTCTATACCATATTTTTACTGTACTTTTCTATGTTTAGATACACGAATACTTACCATTTTGTTACAATTGCCTGAGCAGTCAGGACAGTAACATGCTGTACAGGTTTGTAGCCCAGGAGCAACAGGCTATGCCACATGGCCTGGATATGTAGTAGACTAGACCATCTAGGTTTGTGTAAGTACACTCTATGATGTTTGCACAATGACAAAATCACCTGACACATTTCTCAGAATGTATCCCCATTGTTAAGTGATGCATGACTGTATAGATTTGATTTTTGTAGAATGATTTTATATTCAATGACCTTGCAACAGTTTATAAGTAGATTCTTTTGGATTCTCTCTCTCTGTTTCTCCCTTTGTCTCTATCTCTCTTTCTCTGTATCTGTCCATATATGTAATTATCATTCTTGATTAATTTTCTTGTTAATTAACTTCCTCAACTTATTGAACTGACTAGGACCTCACATGCAATGTTAAATAAAGTGATGATAATGGGCACCCTTGAGTCATTCCCGATTTCAGAGGGTAACACTTCACCATTAAATGCAATGCTTGATTTCAAGTTTTGTTTGGTTTGTTTTTGCATAATAGGGAAGTATCCTTCTATCTTTACTTTGCTAAGAGGTTTTTTTTTTTTTCAATCATGAATAGATGTTGAATTTTATCAAGTGTTTTTCTAATGAATCTCTTGAGATGGTCATATGCTTTTTCTCCTTTATTGTGTTAATGTATAAATCATTTTGATTGTTTTCAAATATTAAGCTATCCATGCATTTCTGGACTAAATCCAATTTGGAAATGGAACATTATCCTTTTCCATATGTTGTTAGATTCAGTTTGCTAATACTTTGTTCAGAAATTTTGCATGTTTATGAGTAAAACTGGCCTGTTTTGCAAAGGCCTCCAGTGGCCACACCACATCCCCTTGGCCCACCTCAGAGTTCAGCTGCATCTGTGGTGAGCAGCAGTGGAGGCTGATAGCTCAAGTGCATACACAATATCTTCCAGAATTCTCCCCCAAACCTTTTTTGCTACTCAGGAACTTTCTTAGCCAACACACAACCCACAAGTGTGTGGGAATCAGTGTCCCAGGAGCGACCTTCAAACAAACTGAGAGGGAGGTTACCTTCTGTCTGTAAGGTGAGCAGTTCTGGAAGAAATTCTGTGTGGTGCTCAGAGGCCCTAAAGAGAAATGACCTCCCATAACCTCCAACATTGACCTCAATAATAAACCCTTACATTGCCTTGTTTTAATGTAGATTTTTTATTGTGATATAATCTATAAACAGAAAAATTCCCAAATGATAAGTGTCCAGCTAATGAATGTTCACAAAGTGAGCACACTCACATAACTGGATCAGAGCAGAAACAGACACTGAGAACATCTCAGCAGTCCCTCTCAGGCCCCCTTCCAAGCTCTTCCTGTCCTCCCCTGTTGAGTCCATTTCTATGGTCACTGTGATAGATCACCAAAATCTTAGCACCTTAACACAACAAAAACCTATTTTCTTGAAGGTTTGCAGGTTAGAAGTCTGACATGGGTCTCACTAGGCTAAAAGCAAGGTGTCTGCAGGACTGTATTCCTTTCTGGAGGGTCTGGGATAGAATTGCTTTCCTGCTCATTCAGGATTTTTGCAAAATTCAGTTCCTTGTGGTTGTAAGACTGAGGTCCACATTTCCTTTCTGGAGCCAGTTGAGAGCCATTCCTAGCTTCTAGAGGTCCCCACATTCCTTGACTCCTGGCCCCTTTTCTCCATCTCCAAGGCTAGCAACAGTGGGTTGAATCTCTTTAATGCTTCAAACTTCCCCTGACTTTTCTTCTAACATCTCTCTGACTAATTTTTGCCTTCCTCTTTCACTTTTAACGGTCCACTTTGGCCCACCCCAAAAATCCAAGATAATGTCCCTATTTTAAGGTTCATAGCCTTAATTTCATCTGCAAAGTTCCTTTTCCATGTAATGTAACATATTCACAGGTCCCAGGGATTAAGATAGGAACATTTTTGGGGGCCATTATTCTGTCTACCACATCCCTCTCTGCCACCCTAATAAAAATAATCACTTTCTTGACTTTTAACTCTAAAGATTCATTTTTCTGTTTTGTATATAGATGGAATCATCCAGCATATACCTTTTGGAGTCTGGCTTCTTTCACTCAAGGTTATGTTTGTGTGGAAGCTTTAAGACCCAGTGCACAATTCACTGTGTTCCCTCTGCCCTGATGCAGTGTTGGTGGAAGCGTGTGTTGAGAGGAGGCTCTGTCTCCCTGGGTCCCTGACTGACTAAGCTGAGCACATCCCCCACATAGAACATGTAACATGAGCAAGAAATAAATTTTTGTTGTATTAAGCTAATGAGATTCTGAGCCTAGCCTAGACTGTCCTGACAGAACTTGGTGGCAGAAGTTTGGTGTTGCTGAAACAAAAATGGAAATTACGTGTCTTTATCTTAGTGGTCAGACAGTGGGAAACGAGAATACTGTTATTAAAGCCTAGAGAAACAGTTATCCTTGCTATTTAGTGATGAAATAATTGATAATATTATGAAATATTACCTCGAGAAGGAAATTACATACATGAAGACTGGTAGTTCCAGGAGAAGAGGTTGAAATACAGAACATTAGTAGTACATGTTGATTTCACTTTTAAATAGCTCATAAAAGATGATTCACTTGCAAGTAGGACGAAAAGGGAATAGAGAATAGCTGAATTCAGGCTCTTGCAGGGTTGGAAGAAACAATTACTTTTGATCCCCTTCTTTCCCCCTCATCCCATCCCCTCCAAAAGAATGTAACTTTGAGAAAGAGAAGATACTAAAATCGGACTTTGGCAAGGATCGAATGAAGGGCAATGCCATCGCACCTATTGTTAAACCTCTGAAGGCATTAAAATGTTTCATATTAGGGTCCAACAAAGAGTATAGAGCCTAGAAAATCCCTTCATTAGAAAACAATGGCTCAGGAAAAGGAGACTAAGGTTATGGTTCTTGCAACAAAGCCCATAGGCTGAAGCTGAGAAGGCAATAAAATCTGCTAGCAACACAAACTTTTACAACCTAATCATGGAAGTGATATTCCATCACCTTTGCTATATACTATTGGTCAAAAATAAGCCACTTGGTCCAGCCCACACTCAAGGGGAGAGCATTACACAAAGTAGTTACACAAAGTCATTATGGGCCGAATTGTGTCCCCTTAGAATTTGTATGTTGAAGCTCTAACCCCCGACTCATACCTCAGAATGACTGTAGTTGGAGATGGAGCCTTTAAAGAGGTGATTAAGTTAAAATGAGGCTGATAAGGTGGGCCCTAATCCAATATGACTGGTGTCCTTACAAGAAGAAGAAATTTGGACACAAAAGGAGACACCAGATTCACATGCACACAGAGGCAAGGCCATCTGCAAGCCAAGGAGAGAGGCCTCAAATGAAACCAACTCTGCTGACACCTGGATCACAGACTTCCAGCCTCCAGAACTGTGAGAAAACAAATTTCTGTTGTTTAAGCTGTCTAGTCTGTGGTATTTTGTACTGACAGCCCAAGCAGGCTAATACAGGTGTAGATTCCAGGAGACGGGGATCTTTGGGGGCATTTTAGAAGGCTGTCCACCAGAGTGTGACTAAGTCACTGATTGAAATCAAATTGATAAAAGCTAAGTTTTTGAGAGAGTTGCACTGCCAAGGGGACTATCAGCCTGGAATAAAGATACTTACAACTAACCCTCAGGCTCCTACATCTCTATGGATAGGCAGTCCTGCCATGTGTCTGACAGTGAACACCACCAATGACTAACCTTCTGGATCACTGTACCATCCTGACACTTCTACATAGCATGGGGAAATTTCAGGACACCACAAGCAAGGGGAGCACCTTCAAATTTTATAGAGAGAAAAAACTTACTAATTCTAAAGGCATAAGAATAAGATGGAAATGAGTCTTCACATCAGCAACACTAGATATCAGAAAACAGGATTAAATTTTTCAAAATTCCAATTAGAAGTAATTTGGACTTAGAATTCTAGAATTTTCCAAATATCTAACCAAACTATCATTCAGGTGAGAATAAAAAAAAGACATTTCCAAACTTATAAGGACTTAGAAAGTATAACACCCACAACCACCCACCTCGTCAAATAATTTCTAGATGACATGCTCTGGAGAGAAAAGTGGATCCAAGAAGAGAAGGTTGGATAAAAGAAGCAATGGTGAATCAACAGAAACAAAATAAAACTCCATAACATATAAAAGAAAACCAAACTCATCACTATCACCATCACCACCACCACTCATATAAATATTTGTGAAACTTACTTATAATGCCAGAAGGAATGAGGAAAGGGGATGCATACCATAAAGATCTGAAATCAAAGTCCCAGATGATACACAGAGGATGAGTCAGAGCAATGGAGATGTGGGAGAGAGCAGAGAGAAGGAGCCAAATGATGCTATTTCTTCCTGCAAGGGGACAGGAGGCAGCTCCAGAGGCCCCATATCCTTCTTTTGTTTACATTCAGTAGGAGAAGACATGACTGGCTCTTGGCCAGTTATTCCAGCAAAAGAATTACTACATTCTCTTGGACGTTGTTGGGTCAACTGCCCAGAGGAAATTTCCTGAGTCTCATTCTGACCCTTGGAGTCTGGGGTAAAGTCAACTCCACCAGAAGTACACAGTATCAGTTCAAATTTGCATTTGGCTGTGAGTCACAGGAAACTCCATAGGTTGCCACTTAACTGATGATGGTCTGGAGGGAGGCATTCCCTGTAGTGGCAGAGGCATTCCTTCCTCTTGTCTTGGCTAATGACATTTGTCTTCTGGACAAGGCAAGGACTTCACCGTTATCCTGCTTGTGTTCTGGAGAGTGAGAAGGAGAAAGATAAAGGTATATTGGGTGGTATTATGGTAGTGTCAAATAAAAATGGCAAGTAATATGATATATTGGAATATATGAGGAAGCAATTTTGTGTAAACCTAATTCAGCCTGACCTTGTCTTTCCAAAAGGGCCTGACCGTGGCCGTTGAGCATGCATTGTATATCTGCTTTAGAGATTCCCTATGGCAAGAATAAAGGCCCTTGAGATACAGGTGCAACTTCTCTTCCCCTCCCAACATTGGCATTTCTTTAAGGATTAAGCATTTTTCTTTGGGCTAGGAACTGATTGCTTGCAGCACCCGCCTGTGACCACCCAGCTCAAGACAATGGATTTGCCTCCTGCTACGCCCTCCGAGATAGCAGACCACTACCTGCTGTGTCCATCAAGAGCGGTGCCCACAGGGCAATCTTGTGACTATTGTGGGAGGGACATTTCAATCACATGTGAAACACCCTCTTTGAAGGTATATAACCACCCTATGTACCCCCACTTCTTTGGAGTGCTCTGTTCCTTTGTGGAAAGACTCTCCCGGGTTATAATCCTCAGATTTCAGCTCAGAATAAACTCACCCAAATTTTCTTTTATAGATTGGTTATGGATTATTTTCGTCGACAGTAGGAATATTCAAACAGGTCAAGGAGCTGAATCAGGAGATGAGGTCAGGTAGATGCTGTAATTTTGCATATGACACAGCTGGAATAAATTATCCAGTCAATGATGTTGGAACAACAAATTTTCCATTTGGGAAGAAAAAAGTTAGAACCAAATATACTGATATGATTTAGGAAAATGTTTTTGAGTTCTTGACTTAATGAATGCCCACTTAAATAAGATGGAAAGAAGCAAAACCCATAAAGGAAAAGACTGACAAATTTGACAACAGCAAGATTTTAAAACTTTTTTATAGCAAAGACATTCTTAACAAATTGTAATCTAGTGATAGGAAGGTAAAAATATTTGCAGCATATGTAACAAAGGGGTAATATTTAGAATTTATAAAAATTTCATAGAAATCAATATGAAAAAGACAAGCAACATAATAAAAAATGGGCAAAGGATAAGAACAAGAAATTTATAAAAGAAGAAACACATATAGCTAATAAACATATGAAAAGATGCCCATCCTCACTTATAATTAGGAAAATACAAATTAAACACTGGAAAACCACTCTGAGTCCACTAAAGCAGCAATATTTTTGAACTTGATAAAATTAAAGTTGGCTACATTGCAGGGCAATCATGTACTGCTATCGGTACAGCCACTTTGGAGAACATTTGGCACTCTGTATGCATATCCACTAAATGCACATCCACTGCCATCACCACTCTGCATTTACCCTAGAGAAGCACGTATGTATGTACATTAAGAGTCACATGAAGTATGTTTATTGCAGCACTTATACAATTAGGTGCACCTCTGGATGAGTGGAGCAGTTGGGAGGAATGGTTGTTCCCACAAGTGAAACCAGCAGAGAGTTAGCCATTGAGGATTAAGCAGCTAGGAACTAAAGTTTTTTTTTTCCTTTTTGCAATTACTGATTATAGCTCTAGCTGTTTAACCCACCCATCGTTAACTGTGCTGTTTAGGCAATATGCTCTCTGACTCCCACTAGGCTCCTATAGATAACATCTCCGTGGAGCCTAGGTCACCACAGTAATGGGTGTGGGAGCTGTTTCTAAGGAATTAGAACTCCTTGTCCACTTCAGGCCAGTTGAGATCACCAACTAAGCAAATGGGTCAGCACAGATGTCCGATAGGTGACCTTTTGACATCAAGAGGCTAAAAACTCCACCCTCAGATCATGCTAACACTGCTGTTTTGTGAACATGGGTCCTACAAAGAGGCATGAAGTCTGTCTACGCTTGCGCAGATCATCAGTTACCTCACCTCTCCTCACCTCCAATCACCTCTCCACATTTCAGACCGCCTTGCCCCCATCCCATAAATATCCCTGAGTGCCTATTTTCAGCGAAGTGGATTTGAGGCTCATGCTCTCGCTTCCTTGCATGGCTGCCTTGTGAGTAAACTCTCTCTCTGCTGCAATCTCGTCATCTGGGTGTTTGTCTTTCTGGGTGGTGGGCAAAAATGAACTTGGTTGGGTAACATAAGGAGGGGAGAAATCAAGGCCATTGTTGGAGACGGGTGACTGCAACTTGATTGGAGATTTCAAGGATCGCTTTCCTAAGGATGTGACAATTGAGCTGAAGTCTGAAGGCCAAATAACCCTTAGTTAGGGGAAGAGAAGAGGCAAAGGTGCTCTGGGGAAAGAAAGGAGCATATGCGAAGGCGCTTTGCTAGGAAGGCCCAAGACGACTTTCAGTGACTGAAGGAAAGGCCTTATGTGTCTTGAGAACAGAGGGTGAGGAGGAGTGTGGTTCAAGAGGCTTAGAGGGACCAGGTCATTCTAAGCAGGTTAGCTGTGTTGAAGATTTTGGATTTTATACAAGAGCTACGGGGATCTACAGGAAAGTTATAAATAGGAAGTGGAGTGGGAGAAATGGATTTCATCAGATGGACATTTTAAAAGATCATTGTGTCTGGTTGCCTGTGCAGCATGGAATGGAGCATCAGCGTGGGTGTCCATCCATGAGAAGCAGCAACTTAGGAAACCGTTGGAACGACTGAGGTGAGAGATGATGGAGATTTGGGTTTGGTGGCAGCAGTGGACATGGGGGAAAACAATGATCCATCTAGTAGGAAATCATACAATCCTGGTGTATGCCTGGTCCCCAGCGTAATATTTATATTACTCCTTTTTACCCTCAGAAGTGTTCACGTTGGAAGCTAGATTATGCAGTCGCCCCACATATGGCAGGAAAAACAAGCCAGATCAGGTGACAGAGTAGTTGTGGGGGTGAGGGAGACAAAGTGTCAAGGATGACTCCCAGTTTCTGGTTTGGAGATCAGAATGGAAGTTGGTGCCAATCCCTGAGCCACTGTGAACCCTGAATGGGGGACAGGTTGGGGAGATGTCCCAGGATCAGACAGGAGATATACAGATCCAGAGCTCAGACTAGAAATCTGGCTGGAGATAGGAATTTGTGAATGAATTATTGATGACAGTTGGTAACAAACTAGGAGCTAGAAGGGTGTTGTCTAGAAGAAGCGCAAACACTGCAGAGAAGAGGTGCGGGGAAAGCAGGCTGCAAATGTGAGTCAGAAGCAACTCGAATGCCATTCTAGGAGGAGCCACTTATTTCCATCAAAAATAAAGTGGAAGTCCATTGAAAGTTTTGAATTGAAGAGTGGTAGGATATTGTTCTGACAGCTTACTGAGGAATTTGAGAGTTTTTGAAGATAACTAAAGTATTCAGAGACTCGTAAAATGACTGTGTGAATAGATATCTTCCAGTTAAAAGTATACATAAATTAAACATATTTTTCTAATCAAATTTAACCCTCTCATCTTACATTCTAATTCAAAAAACCCTTTGTTCTCCTTTTGTGAAACCCTTAATTAGCAGCATTTGACACGGGGGCTTTTTTCCTACCCACTCCTTTCTCCTGGAGAGTTAATCTGGAGCAACCCTTAATTACTCCCCAGAGCTATTGTTAAAAAATCTGTAAATGGAAACATTGTAAAAGCCAAGAATCTTAAAATTTCACCCTAATCAGAGTTTGTAAGATCAGAGCTTTTACATTTTGGCATCTTATTGTGCAAAGATGAAATTTAACTATTATGAGAAAACATAATATATGTTAATGATCAGTCCTCTATAAACATAATATATGTTATATCATAACATAATATATGTTATATCAGTCCATTGACCCAAAATCTCTCTTGCTTACAGAGATGTGTAGTTGCAACTAAGTTTGAATTATGATTCTACTACTAATAGATTTAGAGGAATTTGTTAAATCTCCCTTATCTTCAACCTCTTCATCAATAAAATAAAAATAAAAATACCTATCTCATGAGGCTCCTGTGATGTTTAAATGAGACAATATCTATATAGTGTTTAGTATTTTGTAGTTAATGTGTTTTATTAGTTAGTATTACAATAGAGTTTCTGTTTGGGATTGACAAAAATGGCAAGCAATAGGATATATTGACGTATATGAGGAAGCCATTTGGTATAAACCTAATTTGGCCTGACTTTGTTTTTTCCAAAAGGGCCTGACTGGCTATTGAGCACGCATTGTATGTCTGCTTAGACATTTCCTTTGGCCAGAACAAAGGCCCTTGAGATAAAGATGCAACTTCCCCCCACATTAGCATTTCCTTAGGGATAAGCATTTTTCCTTAGGCTAGGAACTGATTGCTGCACTCACCTTTGACCACCCAGCTCACCTGTGACCACTCAGCTGGAGACAACAGACTGCCACCCTGCTGTGTTCACTGAGACAGAAGACCTACCTGCTGTTTCCATCAATCACTGTGCCGACAGAGCAGTCTCGCGACTATTGTAAAAGGGACATTTCAATCCTATGTGAAACATCCTCTCTGGAGGTATATAACCAGTCTGTGCACCCCACTTCTTTGGTGCCCTTTTTTCCTTCGGGAAGAAAGGCCCCGGGTTATAATCCTCAGATTTAAGCTCAGAATAAACTCACCCAAATTTTCATTTATAGATTGGTTATGGATTATTTTCGTCGACAGTTCAATAAAAATTTTGGAAATAGTGGTGACGGTTGCACATTATGAATGTACTTAATGCCACTGAATTGTACACTTAAAATGACAGAAACAGTAGCTTATGTTATATATATATTTAGCAAAACAAAAACAATGAAAATATATAAAATATAATAATTACATATTCACAGTTTATAACCCATTATGTTAACAATATATTTCTTTTTTTAATGCTGGGTTTTTGTTTTGTTTTGTTTTGTTTTGTTTTTTAGTGAGGAAGATTGGCCCTGAGCTAAGAGCACAGCTTGATGAGAGGTGTGTATGTCCCACACCCAGGATCTGAACCCACAAACCCAGGGCCACTATAGCAGAGCGTGTGAACTTAACTACTGGGCCAGGG